GTATATATATATATATATATATATATATAAGTGATTATATTAAGGAAAGAAAAAAATATGAGTTTATTTTCCTATAATTATCTTAATAATTGCACTTTTATACTTATATATTGAAACAATCACAAATAAAATCGAATAGAGCACAATATAGATTTATGAAATATAAGTAATGGGATTACAATGTTTAGATGTTTATAAATTTAGATATTTAGATAGTTATATCTATATATATTAAAAATCTTAATGAAAAAGGGTGTCATGCTGCATGTTCAAACGCGGGTCGTCGCCTCGCGGAATTGAGTTCGCCAGTGAAATCTTCAGATCGAAAGCGATTATATTTATACGAGGTGGAAATTTAAAAAGAAAAGCATGAGAAGCGTGCTCGCTTAACTGTCGCCGTTATCTTATGCTACGGATCATACTACTATTAACTCTGTAATACAGTGACTTTCAAATCAAGAGACAGGTAGTGTCGTGTATTAAATCATGCACAAAAAGAGACATTTATATATCAATAAAATATTCGGTTGAAAGAAATTAAAATAATTTTTGATAAAAATATATCGTCATTTACGAAAAGAAAATAATTCAAGTATAATAATAGATTTTTTATCTTTCTTTCAAAAGTAACATATAATGCGGACTCAGCATTATGTCACGCTTCGTCTCGGAGTGATGCAAAGATGGGCGATTAAAATAGCTTAACATTAGAACAGCGTTACCTTTCCTACATCCGAGAAATCCGTTTTTTTTCACGAACGCGAAGTAGATTCCTTTTATGCTTCTTATATTTCTTTCCGCTAACTGCTTCCAGCTAGGAATGAACTTATCTGTTTTATCGTGCGAACATCGAAGAGTATTTCAAGTACTCAGCGTAGTTTTACCTTCTCCGCACGAGAGACTCATTTTCTTCTTACAAATGTGAAGAAAATTTCTTTCGTGTGAGTTACTTTTTCTATTTTTGTCGTGATTTTCTTTCCACGTATATGGAAGTTCCTTTTCCATTGTGCAAATATTGGAAAGTGGCTTAGGAAGCACTTCCTAATTAAATTAAAATCTGCGCTCAATGAAGCTTTAAGAAACGTCACTTCATTGAGTTGCTCGTTATCTTAATTATTTTCGGTAAAAACTCGCGCTTTCCTTCTTGTAACGTTCGATGATATTTTCTTTTTGCCAACTCTATTTTTTCCTCATTAATTCGTATGTTAGAAAGCGAGTTCATGGATAACATTGTTCCTATCAGTATAGAAAAATCCAAGGAAAATGACGATCATGCGAGGCTAATAAAGATCGATCGTACAAGTGTTTATGAATTCACGACACGAATTTCAACAGAAGTCAACAGAAATAGAATTCAATCAGCAAAGAATAGAAAGATGTACTGATCTCATAACAGAATATCGATTTCATAACGTTTCTTATATCGAAACTTAGAAATGAAAGAATCGCCCAAGAAATCTTTGCATTTTTCTTGATAATTAGGTTAATCGCATTAATGTATTTTTTTTATTTATGTTTTATGTTTACTATATATTTTTTATTTATTTTTATTATCAACATTGTGCTGATTTATTATAGTTAATTTTAATATCTTATACTTTCGAAATTTTTTATTATATTACTTACAATGCATTAATACCTAATACATTTATAATACAGGGATTTAATGAAAATTGAACAGGAATGTTTTTTTTCGTGATCTAGGCTTAAGCAAGGAAGTATCATTCTTTTGAATCACCCTCCTAAGAACATAGCATATCCTGAACATTAGAGCAATTGATGATGCACTCTCGCGAAGAGGTCATCCTGTCGTTCCTCACGAGCAGATGTGTGCGCCTCTTCTTCTATCTTTTTCTTTTTCTTCTGCCGCCCTTCCGTTTTCCCTTCTTTCTCTTCTTCTCAAGTCCACTGACCGAGACTCGCCAATGCCGCTGTGCTGTAAAGTCGTAGAAAAAGTCTTGATCGTAAAACCCGCCTCGCTTCCGCACTTTGCGATAGCTTCGCCGCTCGCGATACTTCGCGGAAATTCGCGACCGGACAATAGAAATTTCAGGAAATTCCTAATCCGATTGATAGGCGATACGCGGAAGATTCTATATCAAAGCTACTCGTGTATCTGCGCAGCGAATTGATGCAGGATGAAAAAAAATTTTCACGGGCAAATTAAAATTCTTTGCTATACACATATTTCTTCTTACTTATGCCTTTTAATTAATAAGTATATAATCATACAAGTATTAAAGTCGGTTAATTATTTAATGAACATTTGTAATATATATACACAAAAGTAGCATTTTTTATCAGGCATTTTTTATACAAGCACCCTAGAGTAATTATTAAAATATTATTCGCGAATAGAAATTTGCTAAAGAATACACTGGAATAAACAGATGTAAATAAAGGAAATATGCTGCTATTATATTCACTGTATTACTTTGGATTTACAATTCCAGTTCGCAGTCTCGAATATGATACGCGTTCGTTACCCCTTACGCTTCCATTTTCCGTGATCAGCTCTAAGAAGCGGCCGACGTCGCTTTTTTTTCCCCCGTGCGCGATCCTGAGGTACAGAGAAGACCGCTGAATGCACGATTCTCTCAATCCCGTAGTTAGCACGCGTTATTATTACGATCGTTTCGAGACAGAATGATATAATCCCTCTTGTAACTCGCGACAGTACGGTAACGAAGCTCGAGCACATGTCGCGAGGGCTGCTGTAATAAAGGGTAATCAAGGTGTAGGAATGCCGAGGCACGATGATTACGATCCGGCGGGCAGGGAAGGGGAAGAGGGAGGGGGGAGGGAAGAGGAGAGGAGGGGCGGGAGGGGCGGGAGGGGGAAGTAACGAAGGGTGCCCCGTATCGCGACGAGGGGGAAAACGAAACGGGTAAGGAGGCGAGAACGAGTAATGACGCGCGAGCGAGCAGGAGGAGCGCGTGTGTCCGTTGCCGTGCACGAGCGAATGGGACGAGCGGATAGAAAATATGGCCATGATATTTAACTAACTCGACCTCCGCGTGAAAGTGTTCGCTCTTCGCTTTGTGCTCCGCTCCGTTCGAAAGAACGCGCGAACGATCCCATGTAACGGGTGTTACGATCAATCGGTCGAGACAGGACCCGCGGTGTAATTCTGCGGGAGAATTTGGTACACGGCGTCTGTGGAGGTGGAGAACGGTTTTGCTGAAGTATCTTGACATTTGACAAGCTACTGATCTAAAAATAATTTTGCTGGATCGGCAAATAATTATCTAGAAGACACGCTCAAGCGTGATGATATAATATTGCAAAAATTGCTGATATTATAGAAACTAATTTGAACTAATAATTATTTTGAATTTTCCGACTCAGTATCCGGTCAAATTTTTATTTTATTTTTTTTTTAGAAAAATTGTGTACTAATACTCGTTGCTGAGAGCATAGATTGTGTAAATATAAATATTGGCTTGATTAAATGTTAGCGAATTTTCTGATTGCTTGGTAACTAATTATCGTTGTCGTTTAATAAAATTTTTAATTTTATATTATCCTTTTGTTTTTATATATAATTAATATTTCTGACTCATTTTGAGGCGGCTTATTTAATACACCTACTATTTGAAAGATACTTAATGTAATGTGATACTTAATGTAATGTGATACTAAATGTTTTAAATTTATCAATATATGACACATGACCTACTTCCAAAAGACAACAGATTTCAATTTCATGTCAGAAGATTATAATCTTGAGTTAAGGGTACATATCACAAAATGAATGCCTTTGTCTAGTCATACAATAAGTATCAAAGTGTGTCATCGCTGTATCATCTACGCGCGAGGCTGCGAATGAAACGGTATTTAACAGTCGATTGTTTTTTTTTTTTTTCGTATGCAGATCGAGAATTTAAAATTGGGTTTCGGACTGTGTCCCGGAATCGGAGGGTCATTAGGCTGACGTACCGGAAACGGTTCTCGTTTGTGGCCGTGCGAGGCGCGCGCCAGCACGAAGAATTTGGTCGTCGGAACGGAAACGTCGAGGCCGATAACGCGTGGGCTATCATCGAGGAGGAGTACGTTCCTCCGTGCTCCGCACAGTGGTGCCTCGCCAAGAAGAAGGGCATCGCATACGAAGAGAAGGGGAGAGCCGCGAGGTGGTACGGGCACCTTTCTCGCACGCGGCGCTCGCCGTGGAATGGCAAAAAAGAGAGGAGACCCTGTGACGTCACGCGACTTGTGCGGCGGTGCCGCTAGCCTCTCACTTGGTCGCCGACGTTCGACCCGCTCGGTTCATCGTGCTTTGTCGGCTCCGTACGTCTTCGGCCTCCTTCGATCAAATACGATCGCGCTATCTTTCGCATGATTATGTTTTCATAAGGAAAACTAAACAGAGCGGTCTTGACCTTCGACACGACGCGGCGACCGATGTTTCGGCGGTCATTCGTACGCGAGCGCGCACGGGAGTGACGTCAACGGGAAAACGCGACGACGATTGTGCGATTACTCGGTGACACGGATCGCGAGTTCTGCTCCGCGTCCGCGTTTGGTGGTGAAGAGTTTTGTAATTTTTTTTCGTTTCTTGGTTGTGCCATGACATGACGCTCTCTCTGGATATGATACCGGATGGATTAAATCGCCGTTAGGGGTAAGTGCTGTTTAATCCTTCCTTGCCGCGCGCGTTCGAACCAACGGCGACGGATCGCTGCTTCTTGCAATCGTAGAGTATGCCGGAACTTCGTAACCGGTGGTTCGTTGTCCTCGTATCTCTTCATAATGTTAATGATTGTAGCGCGTGAAGGATTTTGCAGAGCGAATTATACTCCGAATATGTTTCATCGTTTTACGTATTATGAGGCACGTAATATATCTGTTAATTAAAATTTAAGTTCTTGCGAATTAAAAATCTCTGATTTGAAATATTAGCAACGCGTAGATAATAGAAGATTATAAAAGATAATGGAAGATAATAGAAGATTATAGAAGATAATAGAAGATTATATATTCCATAATTTTTAATATATATTAGTTTTTGATAAATTTGTTAAATACGCTATCTAAATTTGTCAAAATTATTATTTTGATATTCTTAATATGTATGTGTATGTTGGACGTATATATATATATATACATATATATATGTTTATAAATAAATAAATATATATATATAAATATATATAAATAATATATATAAATAAAAACAATATATATAAATTAATATT